TCTTCTTAGGGGTCTTTTCTTTTTACTTCTGAGCTGAAGGTACTCTCTTCTATTCCTACTATTGCCTGCATGTTAGTCTGATAAGCAGTCACTGGAAATGGTGGGACGGGTCTAGGTTGGGGGATTGTAAGGTGCTGAGAACAACTCAGGAAAGCTTCTCTCTTCTCTTACTGGCTTTTCCACCTGGAACAAAAAGATGAGCCTCACTCTCATCTTGTGCAAAATTAGCATCGTAATAGATTGTTGTATATCTAATGGTTCCCAGCACCTGCTCAATAATTACCTTCTCATGGAGCAGTTCTTTAAATTCTCACCTCTCTTCACCGCAGTGGGACCTCCCATGTGCCAGGTTTCCCTCACTAAGACTCAACGGCAGTTCTGAGCCAGCAGCACCCTCTGCCAAAGCTGTTCATGAGGATGAGTCGTGTTCTCTGGGAATATCTCCTCTTGCTTTAGGATGAGAAGGTTGAAGCTTCCTGTCCTTGTCTTTGTCTATTATTCACTCCCTTGGGTCTTTTATCAACATCATCCTTTAGCACAACCTTCCCTGATCACCTTATTTAAATAATAACACACTGTAGTACTGTCCTTTTTCCCCATTTTTTTCCTCCACTGACTTACTACCATTCTACCTATTATTCATCTCACTTATTTATTGTTTTGTTGTTTGTCTTCCCCACTGTAATGTGAACAGCACAAAGTCAGGGAGTTTTGCCTGTTTTGTTTGTGTCTGTGTCCCCGATGGCTAGAACAATGTTTGACACATAGTAAGTGCTCTATAAAAATTTGCTGAAGGAGTGAAATGAACTCTTGGACATTTGTTTTTGTCATGGGATGATCCATATAACATTTCGTTTGGTGGCTGTCTACAGGAAGCCACTTTCCCCCCCCCAACTCATTTAAGGTGCTTATAAAGTACCCTAGCAATATCCCTCTGAGTCTGAGAAGCAGGCACTCACAGGATATGCATGTGGCTGGTCCCAGTCTGCTAAACTCTTTTGTGGTCTGAGTGGTCCAGTGGGCTCATATCTTGCAGTGTGGTCACACTGTGATTATTATCAGTTGCAGGTGGAATGCAACTCAGTGGATTCAACTGGGGTGAGGTTAGTATCAATCAGTGGGTTTTGCAGGTGTAATGTCCTAAGCCTTGTATATTAGGAATCATGTTTGGCCATGAGTATTGGACACCACACTAAGAGTGGCTTAAACTTAAGTTAGGGATTCATTTTTCTTCCATAATGCATGAAATCTGCAGGTGGGTACTGGGACTGGTGTGGCAGCTCCACGGCATCTTTAGTGTCCCAGGCTCTTTTTATCTTTCTGTTTCTCCTTTTTTAGCCCACAGCTTCTAGACTTAGCCTGATGGTTGTTAAGATAACCACTGCACTTCCAGCTATCAAGTCAGCCTTCAAGCAGTAAGAGGGCCAAGATTAAGCAGAGCAGGCAAAAGGGTGCCCTGAGTTAATCTCCTTTAAAAAAGACCCAGTCTGGCAATCTTTGATTTTAATTGGGACATTTAGCCCATTTATATTTAGTGAAATTATTAATATATTAGGGTTCAAATCCACTATCTTACCATTTGTCTTTTATTGATTTTACATATTTTGTTTTCCTTCTTTCTTGCTTTCTTGTGGATTAAGTATTCTTATTATTCCTACCCATTTAGATTATTAGTTATAGTTTTCCTATTTTTTTTCCATGGTCACTCTAGAGATTATAACATGTAGCCTTGACTTATTAAAGTCTTAGCCTATAATCCCAGCACTTTGAGTGGCCACAGAAGGAGGATTGCTTGGCCCAGGAGTTTGAGACCAGCTTGGGCAATACAGGGGGACCTCGTCTCCACAAAAAATTTAAAAATGAGCCAGGTGTGGTGGTGCATGCCTATAGTCCCATTTACCCAGGAGGCTAATTGGGAGGAATGCTTGAGCTCTGGAATTGGAGGCTGCAGCGAGCCGTGACTGCACCACTTCACTCCAGCTGGGTCAGCAGAGAGAGAGCCTGTCTCAACAGCAACAAAAAGTCTAATATAAATTAATAATTTTGCCACTTCCAGGGCAATGTAAAGACTTGAGAATACTTTAACTCACTCCCCTCCCATCTTTTCTGTTCTTGGCATGTATTTTAATTTCATATATATTTTATTTTATTTTGAGACTGAGTTTTACTCTCTGTTACCCAGGCTGGACTTCAGTGGTATGATCTTGGCTTACTGCAACCTCTGCCTTCCAGGTTCAAGTGATTCTTCTGCCTCAGCCTCCCAAGTAGCTGGGATTACAAGTGTGCCACCATGCCTGGCTAATTTTTGTATTTTTAGTGGAGATGCAGTTTCGCTATGTTGGCCAGGCTGGCCTTGAAATCCTGACCTCAAGTGATCCTCCAGCCTTGGCCTCCCAAAGTGCTGGGATAACAGGTGTGAGCCACAGTGCCCCGCCTAGTTATATATGTATTTTAAACCTCACAAAATATTATTACTATTCTTTTACATATTGTAATGAGTAAATCATTTGGAATTATTCATCTATTGACCCGTTTTATTGCTTTCTATTCCTTCCTACATCTCCGTGCTTCCTTTTGGAGTCATTTCCCTTTTGCTCCGTGTTTCCTATATCTAGATGGTAACAAAAGCTTCCCATTTTTGTTGGCTGGAAAAGGTCTTTATTGCAACCTTCTCCGCCATTTGCGAAGAACCAGAGTACCATGGGTTCCAAGGTAGGACACTGTGAAGAGCTGGAGGATGTGCGCTGGATGGAAAGTTCACATTCCTTTTTTCCTGGGCATGAGAGGCATCAAGTCAAGCCAGTGTTTGGCCGAAGTCACAGGCAGCTATTTGATTCTGACTTGGACCAAAAAGTCAGATCTGGCTGTGGTCCAATTTCCAAAGGGGAACTGCTCTTGGCTGTTCCTCTTACAAATCAGATTTTCCCCTAGGCAGCTGTGGTGTCAGAATCTCAGTGTCCAGCCTCACTCTGAGCATGGTGGTGTGGAGAAGGAGGATCAGCGGGCCAACCCAAACTCTGCCTTCTCACCTACATGATGGAATAACTTTCTAAGGCCTATGTTTTTCCAAGCGCAACTCATTTGGAAACTGCTCTCTCCTTGTATTCCTCAGATAAGCCTCAGGCCTGTTTGGATAGAAGTGAATGGTCGTCAATGTCCCTGGCTCTGACCATCTCTGGGCAGCTAGAGCGATCCTGGCTGGATTTCTTAGACCCCTGTTGGGGTCTGGCCCAATGTGAATGGGTGGACCCAAGGATCCCAGAGTGAGTTGGGCCATTCAAGGCTTCTCCAGCTGGTATTCCTGTAGCTTGTGGCCCCAGTTCCCCAATCCCTACATTCTCTACTCCAACTCAAGTGGGAGAACCACACCAAGGTAAATGGTAGGACAAGAAGGCATTAGACTGCTTCTTTCCCCACCTCAAAATCACAGAGGTCCCGCCTGCCAAGGTGTGTAACTGCCTATATTGAGGATGTAGGAAAGAAAGAAAACAAAGCACAACTTGTCTCTGAACTCTGACTCTCTCTATGGGCAGGAGCGAAGTTAGAATGCAGCTTTGGTGAGCTGCTAGTGCTTAGCTATTTTTTTCTACAGGCTAAACAGAGGAGCCAAGAGCCTTTCCTTCTCTAAATTTTGTTTTGCTAAGTAAAACAAAAACTCATTCTAGACTGTTCCTTCTGTCTATAACACTCTTTCCCTAGATAGCTCATGGCTCACTCCTTTACTTGCAGGTCTCTGCTCAATGCTGCCTTCTCAGAGGTCTTTCCTCTTCACCCTATTTAAAGCTACAACCACTATCATCCCCACCTCACCATTCACCCTTAAACCCTGGCAATTCCCCAGGTCCCTCCACTGCTTTATTTTTCTCTGTCACTATCTTACTCCATTTGTGCGGCTATAACAGAATACTTTAGACTAGGTAATTTATAAAGAACATAAATTTATTATCTCACAGTTCTGGTGTCTGGGATGTCCAAGATCAAGGCTCTGGCTTCTGGTGTGGGTCTTCTTACTGTGTCTTCATATGGTGGAAGGTAGAAGGGCAAGAGAGAGTGAATCCATGTCTGCAAGCCTTTTTTTTTTTTTGGAGACAAGTCTCATTTTGTCGCCCAGGCTGGAGTACAATGGCGCGATCTCTGCTCACTGCAATCTCCACCTCCTGGATTCAAGCAATTCTCTTGCCTCAGCCTCCCAAGTAGCTGGGACTACAGGCGCCCGCCACCACACCTGACTAATTTTTTGTATTTTTAGTAGAGACGGGATTTCACCATGTTAGCCAGGATGGTCTGCATCTCCTGACCTCATGATCCCTCGCCTCGGCCTCCCAAAGTGCTGGGATTACAGGCGTGAGCCCCTGTGCCTGGCCTGTAAGCCTTAAAAAAAAAAAAAAAAAAAAAAGCAGCAGCATTAATTCTTTCAAGAGTGTGGAGCCCTCATGAACTACACACCTCCCATTAGTCCCCAACTCCCTGTACTGTTGTATTGGAGACTAAGTTTCCAATACATGAATTCTGGGAGACACTAAAGCAGTCAACGTGATTTATCATCTGCCTTCACTCATTAGACATCCGCTACATGAGCCCTGGATGCTGTATGTTTTGTCCTCTGCTCTGTCCCCAGAGCCAAGAATAGTACCTGGCACAGAGTTGGCATATGAGTTATTTATTGCTTCATAACAAATTCTCCCGAAACTTAGTGGCTTATAACAACAATGTTTACTAACTTACAGTTACCATGGATCCGAAGTCTGAGGGCCTCAGTTCCTCCCTGAATGGCCAGAAGTCACCCACCCTCTGTTTTCTTTTCTTTTCTATTCTTTTCTTTTCTTTTCAGATGGATTCTCACTCTGTCACCCAGACTGGAGTGCAGTGGTGTGATCTTGGCTCACTGCAACCTCCATTACCCAGGTTCAAGTGATTTTCATGCCTCAGCCTCGTGAGTAGCTGGGATTACAGGCACGCACCACCATACCTAGCTAATTTTTGTATTTTTTTTTTTGTAGAGACAGGGTTTTATCATGTTGGCCTGGCTGATTTTGGACTCCTGACCTCAAGCGATCCACCTGCCATGGTCTCCCAAAATGCCGGGATTATAGGTGTGAGTCATCATGCCCAGCCCACCCTCAGTTTCTTGACACATGGGCTTCTCCATAGGGCAACTCGCAACATGGCGGCTACCTTCATCAGAAGGAAGAAACATTGGGATAGATGGAGAGGAAGAATAAAAACAGGTAGGGGTTACTGCTGTTGAGCAGTGGGTTCTTTCATACACTGGAAAGCCAGAGGACTTGGGCATCAAAGAGCTTGCCTTTTCCACTTGTCACATGCTCCATTTTCAAGATTGGTTAACTTCCACTCTGACTCCATCCTCCTCTTTTGCCCACAAATGCATGCGTGTCCATGACATAAAAATGGGAGGACAATTCATTCCTCAGAGAGGTGAAGAAACTGGCAAGCTTACATACTGGGCTCAGAGGTTTGTGAATTGCTTTCAGAGGAAAAGCTGGGGAAATTTTTTTAATTTTGGGAAAAGCACATTTTTTCCCACTTGCACAACTCAAATAAGGCTGAACACTCCCATGCTGGAATTTTCCAAACCTTTCCATTTCTCAGATGGAGAGGAGAACATTTAGACAAAGCAAAGCCTTGTTTCTAAGGGATAAATGAGCTATATCTGTGGTGTACCTTTTGTAAGCTCACATAAACTTGCATTTCAGGGACACACAAGAGATAAAAACACAGGAGGCACAACCAGGACGGCTGGAGGGACCAAATCAACAGTCAGGAGACCACTGCCTCAATCATGGGCCTCAGACATACTGTGCTATCAGAGATCAGGAAGAGAGTCCACAGGGCTGATGTGGGCAAGGAAGGAGTCTGGAAATGGATGGGTTAGAGTTTCACCTTTGAGTGTGAAGTGTTTGAGGAGGAGGTGAGCATGATAGGTGAGGAACACAGCAGAAGAGGCAGGGCCATTGGAATTTCTGAAGCGTGATCATGTGTGGAGAAGCAGACCTGAATACACAGAAGGTAGAATAATGACAGACTTCTGGATAGGACCTTTCTAAGGTTAAGAGGTAGGATTAGCAGGACTGGCTTTTGGAAGAGAGATGAGGAAAGTACTCAGTTCTGGTGATATTAGCTCATCTCTGGGCTCTTGGATACTGCTGCCAGGGGAACAACAAAGTGCACCCTGATTCTTTGTTGTCGGCTACAAGATTAGGGGAAAACCATCATAGGAGACAAAATAAGAGCAGGGTCACACTAGAACTTCTGTGCAACTTCCTTCCCTGTCCCTCCCAGCTCTGTCCATACCACTTCCTGTCTCTTTGTCTCCTGTCCCAACTCTTTTTCTCCACCACACTTTACCGACACCTGAGACATTGTATGTTCACTTATTTGTCTTGCATATGGTCTGTTCTCCTGGCTGGAATGTAAGCTCCAGGTGCCAGGATTTCCAGAGACTACAAGAGTGCCTGGCACAATAAATATCCATTGAATGGAAGAAGGAGTAGATAATATGGTCCAGGCCTGGTTTCAAAGTGACAAGCTCTGTTGACAGAGTTTGAACTGGTTAGGAGAACCAGCAGTCAATTTGCTCCCATGCCCACAGCCAGGGTAGCTGTGTAAGGTATGAGTGTGTCTTTACCTGCCAAGAATAGCTTGCTCTTGTGGGGAACACCCTCACCTCAGCTGGGGCACTAGGGAAAGCTGCAGGTGACACCGGCCTCCTTCAGGGGTACATCTGTGCTCTTGCTCTCACTCTGCTCAACAGTGTAACTTCCCAGGTCTCTGAGTTTGGGGCTTCTGCTGCCCTGCACCTCTGCACAGTCTGAGCCTCACCTCCCTGGATGCCCATGGATAGCCCCTCTCCCCTGCTGCCCTCCTGCCAGCCTCAGTGGGCACCATGGATTGCTTCTGTGTGAGACCCTGGCTGGAAAGGGCAGGCAGAACTGGGGTTTGCTCTTCCCAACACCCACCCAGTCCCAACAAGCACCAAGAAGAAGGGCTGGCAGGGACGTTTCCATGGCTCCATGACCCCGTAAAGTATCCTTCATTTTTCTCACAAAATGAGCCTCTTATTCTTTCGTATATTTTCATATGGTACCCAGAAGCCCCTGGATTTCCTGGCATTTATGTAAAGAATTCCAGCTATTCCACCCATAATTTTCACACACAGCCCCTGCCAATAGGCTTTGGCCATCTGGGGGGCAGCCCATGACCATGACCTGAGCTTGTGCTCCTGAGCTCTGGAGATCTGGTAAGGACCCTGGCTTCCCCGCTGACCCCTTGTGTACTCTTGGGTATTTTTTAAATGCTGCCGGATCATGAGGTTAGGAGATCGAGACCATCCTGGCTAACACGGTGAAACCCCGTCTCTACTAAAAATACAAAAATTAGCCAGGTGAGGTGGCGGGCACCTGTAGTCCCAGCTATAAGGGAGGCTGAGGCAGGAGAATGGCGTGAACCCAGTGAGCCAAGATTGCACCACTGCACTCCAGCCTGGGCGACAGAGCGAGACTTGTCTCCAAAAAACAAAACAAAACAAAACAAAACAGTCTTGGCAGGGCACGGTGGCTCACGCCTGTAATCACAGCACTTTGGGAGGCCCAGGTGGGCAGATCACTTGAGGTCAGGAGTTTGAGACCAGCCTGGCCAACATGGCGAAACCCCGTCTGTAGAGATTAGCCGGGCGTGGTGCCACATGCCTGTAATCCCAGCTACTCGGGAGGCTGAGGCAGGAGAATCGCTTGAACCCAGGAGGTGGAGGTTGCAGTGAACTGAGATCATGCCATTGCACTGCAGCCTGGGCAACAAGAGTGAAACTCCGTCTCAAACAAACAAACACCCAAGAAACAAACAAACAAACAAAAAACACAACAAGTCTTATTTACTGTTATGGACATAAACTACATATAACAGTTAATTTCAGCATTTCAGTCCTTCCCTTCCACCCCTCTCCCCTACCCCATCCCCGGGCAATCGCTGACCATCTTTCTGTTCTTATAGATTAGTTTACCTTATTGAAACGTTTATATAAGTGGAATCATTCAGTAGGCTCTTTTTTTTGTCTGTTTTTTTTTTTTTTTTTTTTTTTTCACTTAGCATAATTCCCTTGATGAGTCCTCCATGTCGTGTGTATCAATAGTTCATTGCTTTCTATTGCTAGGTAGTATGGCATTGTATGGATGGAGCACAATTTGTTTACTCATTTCTCTTTTAATGGACATTTGGCTTTTTTTCCAGAATCATTACTATTACAAATAAAGCTCCTAGGAACATTCATGTTCAAGTATTTGTATGGATATATAGTTCCTTTTATCTTGAATAGTCACCCAGGAAAGAAATGACTGGTTAATATGGAAGGCATATGTCAACATTTAAAGAAACTGCTAAACTACTTTCTGAACTGGTTGTACTATTTTACATTCTCACCCACAACATATGAGAGTATCACTGCCTCTGCCTACTCACCAATGCTTGGTATAGTAAGTCTTAATTTCAGCCATTCTAAATGATATGTTGTAGTATCTCATTGTGGTTTTAATTTGAATTTCCCTAGTGGTTCATGCTGTTGGGCATCTTTTCATGTGCCTATTTGCCAACTTTACATCTTCTTGGCAAAGTATCTGTTCAAATATTTTGTCCCTGTCCCCCTTTAAAATTGGGTTCTTTTTTTTTTCTTATTGTTGAGTTTAAGAATTCTTTCTGTATTCTGGACAGAAGTCCTTTATCAGACATATACTTTGCAAATGCATTCTTTCAGCTGTGGCTTGTCTTTTTTATGCTCTTAATAGTGCATTTTGAAGAGCAAAAGTTTTAAATTTTGATGAAGTTCAATTTATCCACTTATTCTTTTATTGACTATGCTTTTGGTGTTGTGTCTAAGAAAACAATCACCAACACAAGGTCATGAATATTTACTCCTATGTTTTCTTCTATGAGTTGTATAGCTTTAGCTCTTACATTAAGGTCTATGATCCATCTTGAGTTAATTTTTATTAATGGCAAAAAGAGTGACTCCAAGTTCCCCTTCCTTCCTTCTTTCCTTCCTTCCTTCCTTCTTTCCTTCTTTCTTTTCTTCCCTCCTTCCCTCCTTCCCTCCCTTCCTTCCCTCCCTCCCTTCCTTCCTTCCTTCCTTCCTTCCTTCCTTCCTTCCTTCCTTCCTTCCCTCCCTCCCTCCCTCCCTCCTTCCTTCCTTTCTCTCTCTCTCTCTCTCTCTCTCTTTCTTTCTCTTTCTTTCTTTCTTTCTTTCTTTCTTTCTTTCTTTCTTTCTTTCTTTCTTTCTTTCTCTCTCTTTCTCTCTATCTTTCTCTCTCTTTCTCTCTCTCTTTCTTTCTCTCTTTCTTTCTTTCTTTCTTTCTTTCTTTCTTTCTTTCTTTCTTGCTTGCTTGCTTGCTTGCTTGCTTGCTCTTTTTTGACTGAGTCTCACTCTGTCACCCAGGCTGGAGTGCAGTGGTGTGATCTTGGCTCACTGCAACCTTCACCTCCCGGGTTCAAGCGATTCTCCTGCCTCACTCTCCCGAGTAGCTGGGATTACAAGTGCCCGCCACCACACCAGGCTAATTTTCATATTTTTAGTAGAGACGGGGTTTCTCCGTGTTGGCCAGGCTGGTCTCAAACTCCTGACCTCAGGTGATCCCCCAGCCTCGGCCTCCCAAGTGCTGGGATTACAGGTGTGAGCCACTGCACCTGGCCCAAGTTATTTTTTCTTCCTCCTCCTTCTCCTCTTCTTCTTCTTTGTTGTAGTCTCTATTTTGCATATGCTTTTCCAATTATTCCAGCACTATTTGTTGAAAAGGCTATTCTTTCTCTACTGCATTACTTTCTAGCCTTTGTAAAAAAAAATCTGTTGTTCATGCCCGAACAATTAGGCAAGAGAAAGAAATAAAGGGCATCCAAATTGGAAAGGAAGAAGTCAAATTAGCCTTGTATGCAGACAACGTGATTTTATATTTAGAAAAACACAAAGACTCCACCAAAAAACTGATGAAAGAACTCAATAAATTTGCAGGATATAAAATCAGCATACAAAAATTAGTAGCTTTATATATGCAGACAACAATCTGAAAAAGAAATCAAGAAAGTAATCTTATTTACAATAGCTACAGATAATAAAAAATACCTAGGAATCACCTTAACCGAAGACATGAAAGAACTAACTCTTTAGGGAAAACTATAAAACACTGATGAAAGAAATTAAAGAAGACATTTAAAAATGGAAAAATAT